CTTTCTTTTTCCTTTCCTTTCTTTTTCCTTATTCACTCATCAGTGAACACCTGGGTCGTTTCCATGTCTTGGCTGTTGTGAATAGTGCCGAAAGGAATATGAAAGTGCAGATAGCTCTTCGATGTCCTGATTTCATTTCCTTTGGATATTTCTCCAGAAGTGAGATTGCTGGATCATATGGTACTTTTAGTTTTAAGTTTTTGAGGCATCTCCATACTGTTTTCCCTAGCAGCTGTACCAATTTATATTCCCACCTTCATCAACATTTCTCTCTTATCTTTTTGAAGACAGCCATCCTCCCAGGAGAGGGGTGGTATCTCATTGTGGTTTTGATTTGCATTTCCCTGATGACTGTTGTGGTTAAGCACCTTTTCAGGCACCTGTTGGCCATTTGTATGTCTTCTTTGGAGAAAGGTCTATTCGAGTCCTCTGCCCATTTTTTTAAATCAAGTTGTTTGTTTTTGCTTTGAGTTGTATGAGTTCCTTACATATTTTGGATGTTAACCTCTTATCAGATACATGTTTCTCAGGTATTTTCTTGCATTCTTTAGGCTGTCTTTTCATTTTGTTGATTGGCTTGTTTTGCTGCACCGAAGCTTTTTCGTTTGACGTAGTCCACGTGTTTGATTTTTGATTTTGTTATGCTTTTGTGCTTTCAGTGTCTTATCCAAAAAACTCATTGCCAAGACCATTGTCAAGGAGCTTTTTCCCTTTGTTTTCTTCTAAGAGTTTCACAGTTTCAGATCCTATCTTTAAGTCCTTAAGCCGTTTAATTTTTGTGAGTGGTGTAAGATAAAGGTCCAGTTTCATTCTTTCACATGTGAATAACCAGTTTTCCCACCATTTATTGAGGAGACAGTCCTTTCCCCCATTGAATACTTTTAGCTTCCTTATCAAATATTAGATGACCACCTATATGTGGGTTTACTCATGGGCTCCTGATTCTTTTCTGTTAGTCTGTGTGTTTGTTTTTATGCCAATACCGTATTGTTTTGATTATATTGGTTTGTAATATAGCTTGAAACTAGGAAGTGTCGTGCTTACTCTTTCTCAAGATCACTTTGGTCTGTTCAGGGTCTTCTGTGATTCTATTTGAATTTTAGGGATTTTTTTTCTATTTCTGTGCAAAGGAATTTACTTTGGAAAGTGTAAATTTGCGAAAGGTGATCAGTAGTTGTTGGTGGAGTGAGCGATATTTCAGCCACATTACTATGCAAAATTCTGAATGAAACTTACGTGCAGCTCTGCCACATTTCACCACTACGCCCTCTGTTTATTCATAGTGGAAAATAAGTGACTTGGCAGCTTTTTAAATGTCCTGAGTATTTCTCAAGTTGGAATATGTTGCTACTGATAAAGAAAGCATTTTCCCCCATCTGCAGAAATAGCTTCTGTTAAAAGCTGGATTATCACTTCCAGAACCTCAAATTAATGTCGTTATTAAATCTTAGAGAGGCAGGGTCATCTTTTTAAAAAATGGTTTATTTACTTATTACTGTATTATTTTATTATTTTTTGGTGGTAGGGAGGTAGTTAGGTTTATTTTTAACGGAGATACTGGGGACTGAACCCAATCGTGCTTGCTAAACATGCGCTCTGCCACTTGAGCTGTACCCTCCCCGCAGGGTCGTCTTTAAAACCTCAGTTGAAGAACTTAAAGAAGACACAGTTCTTCTATATTCATTTGAACTATGAAATATAGTTGGTACCTTGGGGAGATGCTTGCCACATGAATGATCAACTCCTTTGGTTTTTCAAGCCGGATAATGAGTATTGAAAACCTCGGGTCCCAGAAGAGCAGGGGCGTGCTAGAATTGAGCTCTTCCCATTCAACTTACTTGGAAGCTCTACCCTCCTTTAAAAGGTCTTATTGTTAGGAAAATAACAAATTGTAACAAAATTCCTCTTCACTCTGTCTATTCTGCTGTTAATTAGTTGTCTGCTTACAATTTATTTATTAATTTACTTGACCTGTTTTCTGGCTCAGAGCCTCTAGACTCGAAGTCTGGGGTTCCATTCCTCCAGCAGCTAGCTTCTCTGAGCTCTTCTGGGCCAGCTGCTGGGTTTAAAGTAGATTTCTGCTCTCTAGTAGGAGTTCAAGTTCAGTGCCAGAGGCGGGCGACAGAGTGAGTTTTTGTCGTGAAACAGGTGTGCTCTGATAGCAGTGATGTTGGGACGCGCACGAGGGGTATCCCACCAAGCCAAAAGGGAGTTAGGAGCCTTCCTGGAAAAGGCGTTGGATCTTGTTATTTTAAATGTTGCGTTCAGTCTTGCACTATTTTGTTTTAATCCTGAACCAGCTATTTAGCATGTATTGATTCATCGTGGTTTCTATGTTTTGCTGTTGTGGAAGATTTTTGAAATCTTCATTTACTTCATTTAACATTTATTACATATCCAGAATTGAATATTGCTTCGCAGTCAGACTATAAGTATATCCTTCATCTTTTCTTGTAGGATGTTTTTCGGTCTCTCCCTTTGGTATTTGTCATGCATATTCACTTGAGATTTTAAGATTTTGGCGGGGGGGGGGTGGTTTGCCCACTTTTCTTAAAGGAAAACATATGCTAGTATTCTCCCAAACAACAGACAATGGGTTCATGTTTTCCATAGCCTTTTATTTTTGGAACTGATGTCTGAGGTAAGAATGACATATTTTGCTCTTGTCCCAGGACTATGCATAACGAGAAGGGTGCTTATCCTTTTTGTTTGTTTATTGTGTTATTCAGCGGTGTTTTTAGAGCCCATGGTGGTAGGTTCAGTGATGGAGGATGCGGTCAGCACTGCTGAGGGCAGAGGAGGTTGGAAGGAGGCAGTGGGCGTAGGGTCAGTTGTCACGAAGTGGCTGAGCAGAGTAAGGCTGGAAGTGTTCCTGCTGCTTCAGCCCTGGGAAGGTCTTGGTGGCCCAAGGGAGAGCGGTCGGCAGTGAAGATGGTCACGGCCGGTTGCCATGGTGTTCAGAAGTGACAGAGAGGGGTATGAGGCCGTGGGGACATTAAGAAGAACTCCTGAGCAACGGGCTGGAGCTTTCATACCTCTTTTGCTTTGACTGAACCCATATTCTGAGACTGTCAAGAAAGCTCCACAAAAGTTCTCCAACTTCAGGCTTTCCTGTTGATAAATCTATACTCAATCTTGATTTAGAGACGGACTCGGTGCACACTTAGAGATGAAATCTTCAAGCAACTGGAAGATTTGAATGTTTATTGTTAAAGCTTAGGCCATTTTGGCCAGAGAATGAGTCAAGGAGACACGAAATGTTTGTTTTGTTTGGTAGATTTGTAGAAAACCCACAATTAGGTACAATTTTTTTTTCAGAGGCGTCTTAACTCCGGATGGAGTTCTTGCCTATCTGGATGTATCACCAGGGGAGAGTACAAGAAGCAGTACCATGAGCTTTTCCCAGGTCTGGAAAGACAGGCGTCCACTTTTCACACGTGTGATGGGAAGTGCAGCCGGCTTGCTCACTCGTGTGACCTCAGAGCACAAAGACGCACAGCCCACCCTGTGGATGTCAGGATTGCTAACTGGTCCATCTCCGAGAGAACGAAAATGAAATCCCGTCTTCTGTTCCTTATTCATTCCGCCCTGGGTCCACGGGGATGCAGCATTTGTGAAGGAATCAATTATCCATTTGTTAGTCAGAGGAGCCTTACAAATTATACATTAGCAGATTGATTTCTTAGGTTCACGTGGGGGGACCGATAGCTTAAGGTGGGATGATGAGGAGTGTCAGGGGAGAAGAAGTCGCTGCAAAGAACCCCATTAAAAGCAGCTTTCGCAACGACCGTGAATTTATTCCTAATTGAAGAGCTGACATAATCCATACTAAGTGTATTTATTTCCAACACTGTACATTAGGCAATTGATTATCACATGAGGTGGACACATCGGTGCTCTTGCCTTTTCTTTACATTTAAGACCTTGAGACCGCCTGTCGTGGACTTGGATTTGGAAGGTGTGTGCTGGTCCTTGCCCCCTCCTGCTTACTCGGGCTTCTGGTTTTGTTCCATTAAGGAAACATTTTTGTATGTTCTGTAGTGTCAGCTTGACATTATTGATTTTTGAACAAACTCACTTATATTGTCCAGAATTCCAAACGTGTCTCCATTAGGAATAAAATGGTGGCTACTGGAAAATACAGCTGAGGCCATGTTTCTCCGGTCTCTTTCTCCTCTGGTTCCTTACCCTTGTCGACGTCTACTCCAGTGTCCCATCTTCACATCGTACCCCCTGGACTATGTATGTAAAACAGGCAATTGGAAAAATCAGTACCGAAGAAAGACAGAATCTTGTACTTCCGTTTCCCTCCTGTACCCTTTCTTTGTGGGTTTGTTGTTTATTTCTGGTATATAGAAATGGCAGATGTATGTAGGGCGGTTATTTTTGATTCTGAGAGAAATGAGTGTGTCCTACTGACAGCTGTCACTATTGAAATACTGTCCTATATTCTATATTAAGTGCTGTGGGACTGTTACGGAAACGGATATGCACCGTGATGATACTCAGTTCTTGTCACTCTAGAGAAAAATCTGTGCTGCAGGTCCCCCGAGTTAAGATTCACTGTGGTTTCTTTTCGTGTTCCCATTCGTGGATTTACTACATAGTCATTTCAAAAATACTTATCTTTTGATTACAAAGAAAATACATACTTGGAGAAAGTCAGCAAAACCTACAGTGGGACAACCTGAACAATCACTGTGTGTCAGCAGCCCGATCTAACCAATGCTAAGATCTTGGGGAATCAACCTCTGGTTACAGACAGTACATACAAATACTTTGAATAGAATAGGAGTTACATACATTGGGTGGCACTTACCCAGAGGAGCCAAATTATGAGGTTTGAGGGCACAGTCTTCCAGGCTGCCGAGTCTGCTGGAGACTTCTAACACCAACTGCAAGTTCTGGAGGTTCCCAGATCCACCCTCATGTGTGATAATTAGCTAAAGTCCTCATAGAACTCACTGATGCTGTGATACTCACAAGTACAGTTCATTTCAGGAAAAGGATACGGGGCACGAATTCGGCCAAAGGAAGGGTAGGGCCTGGGGTGGTTTCAGAACTGGAGCTGTCACCGTCCTCAGGACGTGTTGCTCACACTGGCATTGATGTGCACTGACCAGGGCAGCTCAACCCCGTGCTAAGAATTTTACTGGGTCTCCGTTGCAGAGGCATGATTGGTTGATGGGTTGTCTACATGATTGATCTCAGCTTCCAGGTCGGCTGATCGCCCTGTGACCCAAAGCCCCCACCCTAAATCCCAGGGTTAATCCCCCGCCTCCCCCATAAGACATTGCTATCATGTGAGCAGATGTGACATAGGTTACTTCCCAGAAGCTGAGGGCAGAGGCTAGACCTCTCTTTGGCCAAGGCCAGATTATTTTCTGTATTTCTATATAATATTTCTTTTTTAATTTAATTTAAAAAAATTCTCCTTTAGATTCCTAGCTTTTAGAAATTAGGTAATTTCCATTTCTCAGTGTCGTACAAAAGAGGCCTGCTGTAGAAAGCATCTTTTTGCCAAATAATCTTCTTACTTCTCCTTGGTTTTGATAGGCAATGCATATTTTAAATAATTATGATATGTATTGCCAAATGATCCTTTGGAAAATG